TTTTTTTTCACACTATTTAAGGCTAATTGCTAATGTTTCAATTCAAAAGATCATTAACAAATCTCCACCCTTTACAATTATTATTAACATTACTAGCTCCTGCTGGCCACAAGTATTTAAAGCCTAATTATGTAGTTAATAGTTAGTCCTGACTTCCAATGTTCAAAGTTTATTCAGAGATATGTTCTGTCTCCACAGGCTACACGTTCACTAGCTGTGGTGCGAAAGGACCGGAAGGACCTACATCTGCTGATTGTGAGAGAGCCTATTTAAGGGCAAGCACCAGGGTCGCTGTTGCTGCAGATTTTCCTTACAAAGGATCACAAATGTGGACGGTTCCTAAATCAGGTGTTTACACGTAAGTCCGCAAATATCTTAAGTTAGCTATGTAAGTTTGTGCTGAAATGTAAATTCAAAAGTCTTCAAGCAAAGTTGAATCAAACTGATAGAAATTCTTAGCTATAATTAAAGTTAAACTAATTTTACTGTAATAATATTTTGTACACTAAATTATATAAGAATTATAAAGTTGAAATAGCAGTGCCATAAATACATAGTAATTCCAAATATGTTACATTTAATAATGATGTTGCTGTTTCTACTTAAACACATCTAAATACTAGCATACGAAGACACGAAGTTGCTGTTTCTACTTAAACACATCTAAATACTAGCATACGAAGACATGAAGCTGCTGTTTGTATTAAACACATTTAAATACTAGCATATGAAGACATGAAGTTATGTTTGTATTAAACACATCTAAATACTAGCATATGAAGACATGAAGTTACTGTTTGTATTAAACACATCTAAATACTAGCATATGAAGACATGAAGTTACTGTTTGTATTAAACACATCTAAATACTAGCATATGAAGACATGAAGTTTCTGTTTGTATTAAACACATCTAAATACTAGCATATGAAGACATGAAGTTACTGTTTGTATTAAACACGTCTAAATACCAGCACATGAGCACTTGATGTTGCTGTTTGTATTAAACACATCTAAATACCAGCACATGAGCACTTGATGTTGCTGTTTGTATTAAACACATCTAAATACCAGCACATGAGGATTCTAGCACTGTAAATACGCAGACATACCGCTGTGCAACTGGGGGGGGGGGCTGAAACAGTAACTTCAAGACCTTCAATGCTGATATTTAAATGTGTTTAATACAAACAGCAGCATCAAGTGCGGGTTTCGAAGACTGGCATATAAAGACTTGTCATTTTCGTTGTTATTAAACATAAATTAACACTACCATTTGAAAACTTGAAAATAATATTTTGTTAAACACACCTTATTATCTGCGTTCATGATTTCATGATTATGTTTTTGTTAAACACAACTATTAACACTGGTACGATTTGAATTTATCATCTAATGCCAAGTGGTGTTACCTTACACGTAATTAGTGTTCACCAGATGGAGCAGAATGATAAAAGACGTATCATTTTGAATGTAGCTTTATAATACCCAAAAAGATACGAATTTTCAGGGTTTTCGCCAGAGGAGCAGGCGGAGGTCAGGGAGTAAAGAACAGTGTTAGTAGTCGAGGTACACTTCTACGAGCAGCCTTCAACTGGAACGCTGGAGAGATAATCTTCTTCTTGATTGGCCAACAAGGTGTCAGTGCGTGCAGAAAGGTATAAACTTCAAACTTAAGTAGTTTTAATAAAAAAAATAATAATAATTGCAAAACAGCCTAGCACACTTTCTCAGCATCATGTAGTTTTCGTGATATTAACCCAAGCCAAAATAGAGAAATATATAACTTTGCTGTTAACCTCATAACTCTAGAATTATCGATGGGAATCCATGTTCATCCCATTGGAATCGTAAGCACATTTATCTAAACTGCTGAAGTACCGAGTTCCTTGTGGGTTAATGACTTTCTTGTTTAAAGTTTCCCTACTAACAAAAGATACTTGGTCTTGTAGTTTCTTAGTGCGAAGCCAGCCAATGGACTATCTGCTCTCTGTCCAACGCAAGGAATGGAACCCTGGATTTTTGCGTTGAACATACGAGTCACAGAAACAAGTTTGAATAAACATACCGTCCGTATTGCAATCAATCATAGTAATTGCTGTTGAGACTTTATACATACACAGCGTGGTCACAAGTAAATAGACACCACCTTTTCAGAAAAAAAGGAAAATTTTCAGTCATATTCACATGAATTGATATATTTATAATTTTAATTTAATATCTAGTAGATCTTCCTTTCGCTTCGTGGAGTTCGTTGATCCTTTGGGGCATCGTGAGAATCATCTAGTCAATTTTAGATTGTGGGATTTTCGCCCACTCTTGCTTCAAAACTTGGAGTAAAATGCTCTTCGAAGTTGGTTTTTTGATTGTTTCTTGACTTACCGGTCGAGTATGGCCAAGAG